TCACTGTGTTTGGACGTGGCTTCTTTGCATCAGTGAGAGGCGAAGCACTGTGCTGCTGTCTGGAGGCTTTCCACACAGCTAAGCAGTGCTCTGGTGCATCACAAATCTCACATCAGGGTTTCATTTCCTTCAGAGCTGCTAGAGGAGCTGGCCACACCTAGTTTGAGAGCACAGTGGGAAGGCCCGTGTGGCCAGGTGTGTGCAGCCTCCTTAGAGATAGGCAATGTCACAGGACTTGCCTAGCAGGCGTCTTTCTGATGTCCATCAATACCATCATCACATCTAAACAGAAGCCCTGGCTTTCTGGAGTTTGCAGCTAGACAATTCTACAGGACAAAGTACCTATTAACCCTATGCTAAATAGATATTCCTGGGACAACAGCCACAATGACAGCCATGGGACACCATCCTCTGCCCCACTGGTCCTCCTGGCACTGCTCCCTTCTGCAAGTGGAGGGATAGTGTTGCTGAAGTCATGGCAGCCTTGTGTGTGGAGTGGTGTGCTGTGTCCTCCTACATGGCTTTCCTGCAGAAGGCTGAGGGGAGACATTGCTTTTGCAATGGGCACCTTCCCACCCAACAGTGTGGACACTGCTTGGCTGATACAGAATGTCCCTGTGGTGGGTGACGGACTACTGTGGAGGTATTGGCTTGATTTGGGGTCGTGGGGAAATATGAATAATTCAGTGTGGGATGCAGATATGCCCTGAAGGCTCTTCCATGTCCCTGAGTCTGGTGGCCCACACAGAGTCAGGCAGTATTTCTTTACTGTACCTTCCCCTGAAATGTCATCAGGTGTCTGAGATGTTCTAGTGGTAAGAACTGATGTCGTGACGTGCTGCACTCAGTCAAGAGCCAGGGGCAGAGCACCCATTTTCACCTGTGGAGCTTTAAAGAGGTCTGTGCATGGCCCTCTGCTTCAGGCAGCTGGCCATGACCTAGCATACACTCCTTGGGCTTATACACTTATAGGGCTAGGCTCACATGCTGCTGCCAGGTGGGGTTCAGGTAAAGTGCCCCTGACTTGAGTCGACTGACAGGTGATCACGGCTGTCTGTTTTTACTGTGTTCTTCCCAGAATGACCTTTCTGTGCCTTTACTGGAGGAGGATTTGGATGGCTCCTCGGGGCTCTTGTTTCCCTTCTACGACTCAGACACCCACATGCTTTACGTGGTGGGAAAGGTAAGTGCTTTCCTTGTCAGCAAATGCTAGTCCATCTGATTCTTCTCCCAGCCTGTGTTAATATGAAGTCAAGGATGTACCTAAACCACATTAACCTAAGGATATGTGCTGATGGGATTGGGCCTGAGGGCACTGTAGCTTCAGCCCACATTTGCCACTGCAGACATACCACATATACTATGGGGAGGTATGCTGCAGAGCCCTAACCTTCCCCCAGAGCAATGAGGGAATAAATATTTAGTTCATTCTTGACCCTGTGTGGCTTCTGGGGCCAGGCATTCTTCTTAGACCCTCATGCTGAACAGCAGAGCCTGGCTCATGTCCATTTTCTTTGCCTTTAGGGTGATGGAAATATACGATACTATGAGATAAGCCCTGAGAAACCGTACCTGAACTACCTGATGGAGTATCGTTCTCCTTTACCACAGAAGGGCATTGGTAAGTGGCAGCATATGTCCAACACTACAAAGGGATGGTGGCTTCTTTGGTTTACAGTCTGTCAGGGTCCAGGACTATCCAAAATATCAATTAGAAATGACAGTAGGTCAGATTCCAGTCTCCACACAGGTTTACAGGTGCACAGTCAGCCTGGCCCAGCTCACCTGTATGTCACAGGTCACAGCCTGGAGAGGTCCCTTCTGACCAGCACACCATGGGCTTGGCAGCTTTACCAATCACTGCTGCATCCTCTCTCACATACCTGGTCAAGGTGGAAGGAAGGCTAGTCTGTAGTTAGAAGTGGAGAGTGCTCCTTGCCCTTTGTGAATCTGCTCCAAGACTTTTGGCATTGAATTCTTTGGACATTGTTTCCATTCTAGGATTTCCCTAGTAGTGGGTGCTCCGTGTCTTAATACCCACCTTCTGTCATCTCCCATTTAGAGATAGACCTGCTGTGATTAGGTCACCCCTCCTCCACTGGAGACCCTTGGTCTCTCCATTGGTCTCTCCATTGCAAAAAAACCCCTTTTGTGTTACAAACATTGCATTACAAACCTTTGCTTGTAACTGATCTGTGTACTACTTGCTGTTTAACTCATTCAAGATACAGAATCTGACTTTCAGACCTTAGACCCTACTGGTAGCCCTTTCTTGAACCTTCTTTAGTCTACCCTGTAAGCCATATTCCTCTATAGATCGACATGGTTTTAGGACCATTTCCCATCTCTCCACACTGTCTGTGGACAATCCCATTCTTTCAGGACATTGGTGCAGATATTCAGCAGCACTGGATTTTGTGCATGAAGGTGTCCTTCAAAAAACTGTTAGTGGAAAAGGAACAAGTCATTTAACACAGCTGGAAGCTCTCTCCATTATTCATCTGTCCTGGGTTCAGCCAGGATAGGGTCAATTTTCAGAAGTGGCTGCTAAACCACAACATCAGCTTTTATAATCCTTCCAATGTATAGCACCCTGTTTTATCTTGTCATAGTCCCTTTAAAAATCATTCCATGAAAAGGAAGCATACAGTGTTTTCAAAAGGCCTGAGTTAATCAAATCTATTTCCTTAGTCTGATCTGCTGATCAAACACACTGCTAAGGTCCTTGTACGAAAGCTTCTTGTCCAATATTAAAAAAAAAAAAAATACAGCATGGAGGAGTGGAGTTTAGATTTGCATTTAGATGAATGCCTAATGTAAGGAGCAACAGTCTTTTGGATAGAATCTGCTGTTTAAGTCATTTGGGATTAGTAGTAAACAAAACTTCTGTAGGACACCATGAAGCAAAGTCTATAAGGAGAAGCAATCTCTTTTGCTGACCAAATTGGCATGGTTGTAGGCTTTGGACTGCACAAAATCCAATTTTTGGAGAGAAATCCACTGAGGTTATCAGGTATTTAGAGACCTTGTGTGGCTTAGCCAGTCCCTGAAACACAACTGTTCCTGTCTGACAGAGCAGATGTTCACACCATTCTCATACTCCTTTCTGCTTTGTGACAGCGTTGTGGGGAAGATTCTGGACTGTACAGGCTTCCAGCCTGACCCATTATAGCTATTTTGGTGATGTTTAGGTACCCTGAAATCCTTTTCTGGTGGTCTTGATAGTCAAATCCCATGGCATCACCTGTCAGTTCTGTGCAGTCTCAGTCACTCAATTTGCAACTCATGAGAATGAGTAAGGAATAGGAGGTTTAGCACAAAAACCACAGACACTGTGTTTAACTCTATGAGCTGCTAGAAAAAAAAAAATAACTGAGTCTAAAAAAAGAAATTTAGTCTAAGAAAAAAATAATTTGCGCCACTGAGCCAGTTTTGGGTGCAGATTTCAGACCATACTGCTGTGGAGCCGATGCTGTGACTTCTTTTGTTGTTCATCGGCTCTTTTTTCATGGTGAATGTCATTAACTTTCCTAGGGAAATTTATACCCCATTTGTTTCATGCTATTCCACCAGGAATGATGCCAAAGAGAGGCCTTGAAGTGTCAGCCTGTGAGATTTTCCGTTTCTACAAATTGATCCCAACTAAAAGCCTGATTGAGCCAATCTCCATGATTGTGCCTCGGCGGGTAAGTTAACCTCAGGTGTTGTTCATGTCTGGGACAAGTATCAGTGAAAAAGAGGGCAGTGCTTCCTTTCTGTGACCATCAGGGACAGGTGAACAGATAGCATAAGGGATTTCCTCTCTCCTCATATGAAGGAAATAGTTGGTCAGTTTGTGGGGCAGCCCTTGTCCCAGTTAGAAGGCAGAATTGTGTCCCACCTCCCCTATGCCCTAGTTTCCCCAGATAGAGAGGTGAACAAAAGGAGGCAGTGCTAATGAAAGCTCTGCACTGATTGAAAAGTTAACAAAATGAAATATGTGATTTAACAGGGAACAGAAGGGAAGAAGGGTAGGGGTTTAACAGGGTACAGAAAGGAAGAAGGGTAGGGGTTTAAAAGGGTAAAGAGATTATAGTAATAACAAAGCAAGGAAGGTTAAACTTCCAAAAAATACAAAACCCAAATGCTGTGCTGAGGCTCCCCAGTGCTGGATCTCGCTGGA